GGTTGGGGTATGGACAATGATTGTGCTTTTGTAACGTTGAGGTATGGCCAGTGATTATGGTTTAGGGGACACATCTGTAGCCAGGTGGAAATGCACCTGTTAGATATGGAAAAAGGGGTGCTACCGCTTTTAGAGAAGTAACCCTGGGAACGTAGAGGATGCTGGGTATCAATCCAGTGGATTCTGGGAAACATAAAAAGCCATGTGTGTTTACCTGACTGAAGCGGTATTTCAGCGGAAGTTCTGTAATTGGTTGTTGAAGGTAAATCTTGTACACCGCGAGTTTGTACTAACCGAATGTAAGTTGACAGTCGCCTAAGAGTGTTGTGTGTACGTAATTCTGTAAGTTTCATTTGTTTATAGCGATGCATATGTTGGATGTTTACAGATTTTAGTTCCAGCGTGTGACCCGTGGGATTTGCGGAGTGTGTCGTGCATCGATTACTGCAGACGGACTTTCTGTACAGTTAGGTTTTATTTTAACTCCGCATTCATTATTATGTTTTAGGCTAGCAGGAGAAATGTTACATTTCTGATGTCTAATGTATGTGCTCTTTGTTTGTTTGTACAGTGTGCCATCACAGTTATTTCTGTATTTTCTGTATTCCTTATTTCAACGGAAGAGCATTTTTTTGTTGTACTTCAAGGCAAGGGCGCAGTTGTAAACGTCCCGCACCGAATGAGAGAGGGACAGGGTTGACTGTTGTTTGATTCATTGTTTTGTTCCTTTTATATTTTGTTTGGAGAAAACCCCAATTATTTATAATCAGAATAAAACACCCAAAAGACATTGTTGTGTCCTGCGCTGGTTTAATTTCACCAGGCCACACAAACATATGTACAAATAATAAAAGCCTTAAAACTCGAGTTGAACTCTGAGCCTGTCTACAGGGCAGGGCTGTAGACTTATGTAACCATGTATCATTTCAGTTTATGTGGTGCCATTTATCAGATGACCAAATGTTAACACTGAAGTGTTTGACTGGCTGACCCAGCTTACTGTCCACATCATTGGAGGAAAAGCAAAACAAAAACAAAAGTTTTTTTTAACCAAAGATTAAGTCTTTAAATCCATTAACAAATACAAAGCACTCTTTGATTCCAGCTTCTCAAATCTGAGAATTTGCTGCTTTTTTTTGTGTAGATAATGTAACACCCAGGTTAAACTGAATGAATGAAATGATGGAAAAACAGACCAAGTCAGAAAGAGCTGAATCAATAATTTTTTTTAATTCAAAGTGAATCTTAACAATAATACACAATAAACTAAGTCTTAATTTGACACTCACCAAAAGAGTTACCTGGAAAACCCGCTTAATGTGACAAAGTAGAGAAGGCTTGGTCACACCTAAATCACTGAGAACTAGAGAGGAAACACTATCGCAAACTTTAAAGACATCACATCCATAGAGTTAGTTTTCCCAGTCCTCATACTGTAAATATTGCACAGTGCAATTGCTACATGGCAAACTAGTGTAGCACAAAATAGAAAAAAAAAAAGCAAATTAACAAAACTGAAGAATCAAAGCCACAAAAAGATCTACAGGTATTAAAACAGTAACAGTTCAGATTTCATAATCAAGTCTATTTGATGAGCAATCTAAACAGATGATTCCATAACTTGCAGTGTGAATTAACTTTGAACATGATACAGATGACCAGAAAACAAGAAATCAAACAGCAGCAGTGACCTCAAGCTTTACAGGTCACGTCTGCTCTGAAATGCATTTAAAATATCTGAAGGGGATCATTATAGGAACACTGAGCAATAGAACAAGCTTTTACTTAATAACATGTAGAAAATAATTCCATTAATGAGCACCAAATTAAACAAATGAATTACTATGCTTCAACTACACCCCTCTGCTAAAAAAGATAGATGATTTTGAGGTCCACAGTTGTAATCATAAAGAACGTAACAGTCCTTTATATAATTTCTTCTACCGCTTCTCTTTGTCAGACTGAAAAAAGTAATATTTAAATCTTTATTTCCCTTTAATCTGTCTAAGTCATCAGTATCACAAAATTGCACATGATCATATGCTGTGAGTACAAGGAATACATGATGAGCAATACTGCTCCCTAGTGGTGATATTCTGACTTGCAACATTTTAGTGATAAACTGATTTCTGTTCACCATTCTCTCTATAGTGTAACACTGAAATGACTCCTCAGTTAGTAATTTGACAGTCTGACAATTTTCATTATATATTTTAAAGCAAAACTGCCAAGGATTCCACTGTTTTGTATACGTTGTGTACTATGACAGTCTATTTTGAGGGGTTTCAGTCAGAAAGAGCTGAATCAATAATTTTTTTAAATTCAAAGTGAATCTTAACAACAATGCACAATAAAGTCTTAATTTGACACTCACCAAAAGAGTCACCTGGAAAACCCGCTTAATGTGACAAAGTAGAGAAGGCTTGGTCACACCTAAATCACTGAGAACTAGAGAGGAAACACTATCGCAAACTTTAAAGACATCACATCCATAGAGTTAGTTTTCCCAGTCCTCATACTGTAAATATTGCACAGTGCAATTGCTACATGGCAAACTAGTGTAGCACAAAATAGAAAAAAAAAGCAAATTAACAAAACTGAAGAATCAAAGCCACAAAAAGATCTACAGGTATTAAAACAGTAACAGTTCAGATTTCATAATCAAGTCTATTTGATGAGCAATCTAAACAGATGATTCCATAACTTGCAGTGTGAATTAACTTTGAACATGATACAGATGACCAGAAAACAAGAGCTTGGGTAAATCAAACCTTAGCAAATCAAACAGTAGCACACTTAGATTAATACAGACCCTGAATTAGCATCTCGAAAGGATAATACCGCAGCAGATGATTTTTTTTTGTCTGATATCAGTCTTAAGTTGAATAGTAGTATATCTACAAATTACTTTTATCTGTTAAATGTTACATAACAAAAAGGTTTTCTATAAACCAAGGTGTCAATTATGTGGAAAATTAAAAATGTTTTAAGGTTTCTCTCCTCTTGCATCCATTCCTTTCCTTAACAAGTATGGGAGAGTTTATGCAGGCGCATTGCTGGTGAATACCTTTGGAGGAATCAAAACACAGTACATTTCACATGCTTATTACTGGGGCTCTATTTCAAGCACTAATCTGCGAAGTTCATGCCTAGGCGTCTTAAGATTTATTTTCCTCAAATTGATACTTAAGTGTGACTAGTAAAGCACACAATAAAAAAAAGTTGTCAAAAAACACACAAGCATATCAGTGTCTGTGTTTAAATGTGGAGTATTGCACTCATGAATGACTGTGCAAATAAACCACAATTATCTCCTTTAAAGAGCAGTTTTCAGCCAGAAAGTGGAATAAGCATCCACATAGCCTATTCCCGTATATAAAACATGGCTCCTCTGATTTTAAAAGGCCAGTGTTGTCAGCTGTGCTCTGGTTACTCCCGCTCAGTTTTAACCTGTGTGATGGAAAAGCTGCTCTGGGCAGACAACTTATAGGCAGACAAAGTGAAGCCTCTTCGGTGTACATGCAAGGTCATGTAAAGCATGGAGATTATCTAAGAACACTTGGTGGTGCAATGACTGCACAATGTAAAGTATTGCATCTGCTGTTCAGCCAGAGTGACTATCCAAAGATCGTCGAGTGTCATATCATTCAAAGAGTAGGTGCACGTGTGGGTGTGTATTTTATTGGCGTGTTATCACAGAGAGGCTTTGGTGGTGGCTATCTGAAACAAGAGAACCAACACCGTGTACACGTCCTCTGTCGTGTCTACAAGCTGATCAGAGGAGTGCCAGTCCTTGGAATGACACTGATGACGTCCTATTTTGTGTGTTCTTTTTTCCCTCCTAGTTGAGTGGCTGTTAACAGACTGTCTACGTGGTAATGGAGTATTATTGGATTCTATGCCTTCCTAGGAATCACCATCTTGAATTCTCACTTTCTGAATCGCAAGGCACATGCACAGTGCAGCTAACACTGTCTCAATTTCAGTAAGGAACACACAACAATGGCCACAGTCTTGCATTGACACAACATCATTTTGATATGAGACACTCATAAAGGGGAGAGCGATCCGAACACAAGGCAGTTTAGAATAACAAACTGTTAAACTCATATTCTAGCCAGATATAACATTGAACAGATAAAAAGGTTGCAATAAATAGTTGTTCAAATCAATTTAACGGTAAAACATTCTGGAACAAAAACACTGGGCTAAATTGTTGGACACAGTCTAATCACGCAAACCCTTACAAGCCTAATTACCTGTGGGAGTGCTTAGTGGTGAGTGTGTTTGGGGGCGATGGGTGGAAACTTTACAGAAGCTTTTCAATGAACACAATGGGTTTTTTTTTTCTTCTGGGATCTCACAGTGCTCCTGTAACACACTAAGAGTACTGGTATAACATATATACGTACATTGAAAAAGTTAAATCAATCCTGCAAGCTACAGCTTCAGATGTGTACAAAACATCAATATGGAAACATAAAAAATTAAGTTACATTGATACATCATTTATATGCAGTGATGAGCCCAAACGGTTAATAAGGATAAAATACTGATGCAAAAACACACCCCGAGAAACAACAAATGCAACTAATGTTCATCATCAGCAATACAGCAGTTACAATGACACTCCAAATATGAACACAAAACACAAAAATCAAAACCACTTCTATTTCAGATAATTAGGGACCTATACAAAAAGAGCAATGCTAGGGTTAAACTCAGAGAGACCACATAATTTCACAGCTACTGAAGTGGCAATCATCATATAGCAGCTTATCTATGATACATTCAAGAAAGAAATGATACGACATATTAATTGCCCAATAAGCTAGACAAAACCTCAGCTGTTTTTAAATACTTTTTCTGTGTTTTAACGCAACCCCATTCTACATCTACAGTATAACTGAGGACTATGCCAACAGAATTGCTACCTTGCTCATGAAATGACTTAGTCTTTGGTGCTGCACAAGCAACTTCATTAAAAAAAATAAAACACACATAACTAGAAAATAAACAGAAAAAAACAGACACACACACACACACACACAGCATTTCTACATATACAGTGGCTTCAGAAAATATTCAGATCCCTTCATTTTTGGAACACTTTAGTGTGTTGCAGAGTTCTATGCAACGCTTTAGCAGCTTCAGGACAAGTCTGTCAAACTGTCCTTGAGTAGCCCGGCTAAAGTCCAGACATAAAACCTATAAATCACCTGTGGAGAGACCTGAAGATGGTCGTTCAGAGATGTTTCCCTTCCGGTCTCACATACATAGCTAGAGAGGATCTGCCTGGAAGAATGGAATTAACTGCCCAAATCCAGGTGTTACTTGTAGTGACTGTAAAATACTTAATTAAGGGTGCGAATACTTTATTAACTTTGTTTCAGTTTTTGATTTTTTTAATAAATTAGCAACAATTTTAACCTCTTTAAAAATCATCTACAACATAAAGTGTTCAAAAAGCAAATGAGTGTGAATACTTTATGGAGTGACTGTATATAGATTGGTGATATATATGTGTGTGTATGTGTATTTATGTATATATCCTCCCTGACGGAATGTATAAAATAAGCAGTTGACACCAATAAGCCTTAAGCTTTTAACAAATGGTATAATGTAAAGGGAAAAAAGTTAACTTTGTCACACATGCATAAATGAGAGAATTGCACACAGTTAACTCACACCTTATCAAGCATCAGTACTAAATAGTCTAGCTCTATAATATATGTTCATATATGTGTGTATATCAAATACTGCATGGTTTGCTCAGGCTTAGAAGTTTCCATACCATGAATTAATTTGCATTTTTCCTTACCTAATCAAAGCCATGCCCACCACACTTCTAAACATCTAAGAAACAAAGTGAAAACACTCAAAACGAAAATACAAAGACGAAAAGAAAACTGACTATTTAGATTGTATTGCAGTTTCATCAAACAGTACAAATACTGTTAGTAATAAGAGTTTCACTAAATAGAAAGTGATTATCAAATATTAAGCAATACTCAGTACTTGCACTTTGTACACTAGTTCATTCGGGAAAAGGAAAACAAAAACAAAAACAGACATTTGTAATGAAACAGCAAGCATTCGCAACAGCAAAGCATGCTGTTCTTCTCGAAAGAACAGAAAAGTAACTCACTAACACTGAAATATACACTGACTCCAAAAAATAAGCACCGCTATCCGCGATACATCACATCCATGCAGGCTATGCATGGACATATACACATGTGCATATATATACTCACACATAGGATGCATCGACTGATTGGAATTTCAAGTGCTGCAGTCCATTACATTAATATTCATGTATATAGTCATATACAGTATAAGTAGTAACATTAATAACCTGTAAGGCACTATGGCTGGGGACAGTTATACAATGCAGCGAGTCTTGTGACACAAACAATAAGAGCAACGTCTATGCATCTTTCCGTTTTACATTTTTGCTCATGCAAGACCACATGCAGCGTGAGGAACAACCCTATTTAAATTGGTTAATTGACTTGACATTGCTAACATCAAAAGACACCAAAAAGGTACAAATACTTCAAACGCAGTACAACATACACTGTGGACAACATGTGCATCTGTCAATCTAGAGCTAGAGACTGGGATGGCTTTACAAATATGGATGTGTCTTGCACACATAAGAAGGCAATATAGAAAAATAGCTGGGATCAGGGGTGCAAAGTCTAACTATTCAACACCACCCCAATTATTCACCTGTTTTGAGGAGTATTCGTAGAAGATCCAATGCAAAGATATATCAAATGTGCAAAACACATTAAGTGTGAGTTTAACTACTCATTCATTCTTTCATTCAATCATTCATACATTACTTCCTTCTTCTTAATTTTTTGCCCAAATCATCTCCACCATTGGAACTTTTTTTTTTGTTTTTTAAAGCTTGAAGTTCAATTACACCCAAGTCTACATGATTGAAAAAATAGCTTGCTTTTTCTGTGGTTGTGCCATGGTTTTGGAAATGAAAACCATGTTGTTTGTGGTTTAAGATAGAATTCACCCTCCTCATTTAGCCCTCAGATGGTATGAACGGTATCTGGGCAGCCATGCTCACATGTATGGGTACTGGTTTATTTTGGTAGGGCTGAGAGGGAAACTGGTGTAGGCAGGAGAGGCAATGTAGGAGTGCGGAGGAAACAGGGGCTTGAATTGGCCCTGGGGGTGCAAAGTGGGGGAGGGCAGCAGCCGGGGGTTGATGCCCATTGCGACCTGGTGCACGACACCTGCCGGGTGGGGGATGCTGTAGGTGGGCTGGAGGACAGGGTGGGAGGCTCCAGGCGAAGCCAGGAGGTGGGCCATGGGTGCAGCCGTGACCAGCGGACCAGACGGGGGATAGGACAATAAAGCGGCCTGGGAGTGTGGGTGTCCCCCAAGGTGGGGGTGGGGGCCTGTAGAGTGGTTTGGGCTGCTGTGGGACAGGGCGAATGTGTGCCCATGCATGGTGGGAGGGATATAAGCCTGTGGTCTCCGGTGGGCAAAGTTGCCATTCCATTCCTGATGGCAGGAACCAAAATGCTGCACCTAAAGGAGAGAAGAATGCCTTGCTAATCAGACTCACCATCATCGGCCCAGACTGTTTTTATGAGCCACTAGATGCTGCTGTTTTCCATGTTTTTGCATGTCTGTGTTGTGTTTCTTCACAACAGTGATCACATCCACCTCATGTTACTGTGTAACATTACAATATTCTATTCATTCACTTAACTTTACTGGCAGTATAGTTAAGGAGTTTTCTAGTAAAATGCCTTTACCGTTAAGCGCTGGTAATGTTCACTGCCCCAGCTGTGAGTAATTTTGAGCAAAGCTGCTACATCTGTTAGCAACAACAGCTTCTGCTGCAGTAAAATAAAGTCTGATTTAGAGTGCAAAGTGTACTTTTGGCTGCTGCTCTGCTACCAAAAATCAAGAAATATCTGCAATTTAAATGCTGTGTCCTTTATTGCCTAAATGCCCACAGTGCCGTCACTCACAACCGCTTGATTCACTTTAGAAACAGGACTTAATGGTACAATTTGCCAACTTCTTCACATTCCGAAAAAAAAAGGGTTAGATGCAAAATTATTTAACAGTACAATGTTATAAAACAGGAATTTGTGTTCACTGGGGCACTCCATCCGTTATCTTGTCAGTGATTTAAGTTGTGCATTAGTGGGAGAGTGCTTTTATCCCTGCAATCTGTTTTCTTATTAAGAATAAATATATTTTATAAATCTTCAATAATCACAAATTCTCTCTACCTTACTAATGCTTATACTGTTCTGTATACTCTGCTTGATGGATGGAACCAAGTGTCCCCAGTGTCTCTCTGCAGCCGATAAACCATTACAAACTGAATACAAGTTTGGCATGTTTACATCTTTGTCCATCCATCCATCCATTTTCCTCCACTAATCCGGGACCAGGTCGCGGGGGCAGCAGTCTAAGCAAAGATGCCCAGACTTCCCTCTCTCCAGACACTTCCTCCAGCTCCTCCGGGGGAATGCCGCGGCGTTCCCAGGCCAGCCGAGAGACATAGTCCCTCCAGCGTGTCCTGGGTCTTCCCCGGGGCCTCCTCCCGGTGGGACATGCCCGGAACACCTCCCTAGGAAGGCGCCCAGGAGGCATCCGAAAGAGATGCCCGAG